TGACCCTCATAAAACTGAAATGAAATGAAATTCCCCAAACCCCCTTGCCTCTTCTCATTAGGGCCGGGGTACAATCTGAAATGAGCAAAACGGTCTATGTACTATTTGCTAAAATGTAACATTTATTTGTACAGTGAATATTAGGGTTTTATGTTAATCTTCACTCTCTTATTTATTTATTTATTTATTTTTCTTTATTTACATTTGATAGTGATAGACATATTAACATTGGAATGCTAGCATCTGGAATTACATAGAAAAAGGCATATCAGTGTTTACCCAACAGGTGGGTGACCTACATTGGTATCGTATCGTATCATGTGCTGAGTCGACATTGGTCACAAATGCATGTGGTACGATATACATATATAAATATAGAGGAACATTAACAAAATAACTAGGATTAAGGAAAAAAAAGAAAGAGGAGGATGTGGGACACATATTGTAGTGCAAATAGTAAGCATTAGGAAAGAGCAAGTGGCAGGGTGGTCTTAGTGGTCTCATCGGATAGAGATTTTGTTGGTGCATCCCAGCGAGCTCTGGCTTACTCTATAGGATTGAATTGGGAGTGTGCGCCATTGGTTCAAGTGTCTTCTACTCTATGTACCCACTGGGTCAGAGAAGGTACTGCGGTCTGTTTCCAGTGGGCAGGGATTAAGGTGTTTGCTTCACCAAGTAGTAGCCATAATAATTTCTGATGGTGTGGTTTGGAAAGGAGTTCGGCCACTCTAACAAAACTTGGGAGGGCGTGAGAGAGCGGATCTCCAGTAAAATCGTTTTAATGAGTGGTAGAACCTGGCTCCAAAAGGGCCATATATTTAAGCAGGGCCACCAAATGTGTTCTATTGTCCCTTCATCCACCTCACATCTCCAACATTCCCTGCAAACAGTAGGCATGAAGGAGTGTAGGAGGGATATTCTATACCATCTAGTGGTACGTTTGAAAAAGGCTTCTCTCCTTGATAGGCTAACTGAAGCCCCAATGACTATCCCAAAAATAGAGTCCCACTCTTTATCTGAAGGCTGGACTCTGATCCCAGCTGCCCACTTTCGTTAAAATTGCTTGGGTTCAGGTTCGGAGTCGTTTTGTTGTATCAACCTATAGATCTGCGCGAGAGGTCTGGAGAAGCCAATCTGGAGGGTGGAATTGGTCTCAAAGAGAGTCAGATCTCTTGGTCTGGTCTGGATTGCCTCCAGTGTTGTAAGGTAGTGTACTAATTGGTGGTAACTCAAGGTATCCAGTAGCAAGAGGTAGGAGAGTCGGCAGGATAGGTCAGTTATTGTGGGAAAGGTGTCTCCTTGAAATACATCTTTTAGTGTGTAGTGATGGTTGGATCCTATCAGTCGGTGTAGAGTGGAAGCTCAGAGGCCCCTTAATGGGAGGAGTGGGGAAACCCCTGGAGCTAGTTTGAGGGGGTTTCTGACGCATCTCTATGTGTGAAGGATACTCCTTAGGAAGGAAGGAACAATCAGGTCACTGTGTGTGTGCGAATGACTGTCAGTGTATGTATCAGTGAGGGCATGTGCCATCAGTCAAAGTGTGTGTTGGCCTTAAACTGGAAGAGGTGCAGCCTTGACAGGAAGGGGTGGGGTGAATTTAGATTAGGGGGTGCCCAAGCTTATGCCTAGGGCAGCACAAAACCAAAATACACAACTGGCCACACCGCCTCGATCAAATGCCATCTTGGCATCAATGGCAAGGAGCACTGTCAGGGTTTTAGTGTGCAGAGTTTTGTTGTCGCATGCTCTTCATCTTGGCAGGAATCCATCCTGATCAGAGTGGACCAGTCCAGGCAAATGGGGCTTTAGGTGTAAGGCCAACATCTTTGCTAACAGTTTGAGATAAACATTGATCAGTGAAATGGGACTTTAGCTCCCAGGCTTCGGGATGACCACTATGGAGGTGCTCAGCATAGGTGGTGGGAGGAGTGAGATAGGGCTCGATGTGTTTAGTGCTTTCAGGAAAGATCCAGATAGGTAAGATGGAAAGAGTTGGTAGCATTGTGTCGTGAGACCGTCTGGGCCAAGGTTTTTCCCCTGTGGGGAAGTTTTAAGTAGCCATTCAAATCCATCTTTCATCAAAGGTTTCTCTAAGAGTTCCCTAGTCTCATGGGAAAGCTTGTGGGATATGTTAGTGTCAAGGAAGGTTGTCACTTCAGAGTGGGAGGCTGTCGTGGGGGGAAGATTGTATAAGTTGCGGTAGAAGGAGCTAAAAGCTTGTGCTATGTCTTCTGTTGTGTTGTGTGTTATGCCCTGGGAATCAAAGTTTTAGCAATGTGGGATGATTGGTGTTTGCTTTTTAGTGCTCTTACCAAATATTTGCCACAGCGATTTCCATAAGAATAGGAAGTACCTTGGTTAATCGCAGGAAGCATTGTGCTGGTGTATTGAAGAGACCCTTTAGTTCCATGCGGTAAGCTGTGAGTTGGTTTAAAATTTCGTGGGAAGGGGTTAGTTTGTGGGCTGTTTCATTTTGTTTGGTCTGTTGCGTGAGGAGATTTAGTTTAGTTTGATATAAATATATTACCCTAACGATCCCTTTGTGAGCTACCCAGATCCATTGTGGGGAGGTAGCGGGAGAGGAATTTTCTTTGAAGTACCGTTCAAGGGAGGTTCATATCAGTGACCACCCTGGGGTCATTTAGTAACGTCTCGTTCAGTTGCCACACGGATTGGTCTGGGTAATTCATGGGAAGGTCAAGGTAAGGTGCACAGGTGCGTGGTCCACCCATGTGATATTACCAATTGTTGCATCCAGCAGGATTGGCAAGTGTCTGTGACGTAGGAAAAACATTTCCAGTCTTGAATAACTTGCAGCAGAGTTAGATTAAAAGGTGTAGTTCCTTCCCTGCGGGTACATAGCTCACCAGGCATTTGCCAGTTGATAGGAATGGAGCAACTTCTGGAACAGGAGACGTTGCAATTTGTTAGTGTCCCTACCTCTAGAGGTGCTATCGATAAAGAAGTCAGAGGCCAAATTCCAGTTTACCCCCACCACAAGCACCCCTTCCGTAAATGCCTCCAGTTTGTTCAGGTGCGCCTAAAAAAGGGTAATTGGTTTGAGTTGGGGGCATACACCTTAGCAAAGGTGTATTGAATGTTATTAATAAGCCCTTTTACAAAAAGATATCTGCCCTGCCGGTCCGTGATACAGTTCTCTAATGTGAACGTAGTGTGTGAGGAGATAAGTATGGCGGTATCTCGGGATTCTCCCCCTTGATAATTACTGTAGAAGTATTGCGAGACAAATTGGGACTTCAGGTTATATTGTGACCCCTCCCTAAAATGGATTTCTTGGAGGAAGCAGACATCTGCTGAAGATGCATGGAATTCTCTAAGTGCTATATTTCTTTTTTGGGGGTGTATTCAGCCCTTTGACATTGAGGGACATTAATTTCAACTGGGCTCCCTAAATTTTGTCTAAGCTGGTCATCGTGTAGTAAGTGGGTCAGTGAATACACTTGTTATGAGACCCTGCTATGCAGGTGGGTCCCAAAGTAATATAAAAGAAGGGAATAAAATACATTAAAGAGAAATAAACAAAACTATGTACAAATAACCAAAGGTGTTGGTGAGGTGGTGGTGCGTAACTTAAAGAAGGTTATCAGAAACCTGCAAGTTAGGAAGGTGCACCCTTCCGGGGGAATACTGTGGCTTGTAAGGCAGTGTGGTTGGACTGGGACTTGATAAGTCACATCAAACATACATTTACATAAGCATTAATTACACAAAAAACATCATCCAAGACCATTCTATGATAATAACCACCAATAGGAGGTGTTCATTGGTACTGGGTCAGTTGAACTGATAGTGAGAGGCATAGTGCTTGTGTAAGTGAACTATATAGGTTAGAGAGTAAGTTAACAGGGTTAAGATATGTTTTTTTTGTTTTTGTTTTTTGGAATGATGCAGTATGTTACAAAGCACTTCCATAGAGGGTCACTGGAGTTTAGGGTAGTGCCAAATGTAATAGATGGACTGAAAAGGGTGTTTTGGATACAGCGCAGTAACACCGTTATTGCAAAAATAAACAGGGTCTACCTTGTTAACTAGCATGTTAAAATTGAGAAAAGGATACTGGGGACCATGTCACGGTTTCAAGTGGCTCTATCTTTAGATGGGGTGGCACCATTTTTAGAAGGTGGATTCAGGCGTTGTTACTTCTTCTGTGATTTCTGCCACCTTGGTCACAGTTGGAGAACTGGAGCAGTCTTCCACTGCTTCGTCAGGTAGGTTTAATGCCTTCTAGAATGCTGTTACTTCTGTCAGTGAGGATATGGTGTAAGACTTCCCTTGATGGACAGTAGTGAGGGTGAAGGGATAGTTCCATCGGAATCTGATGCCACGTTCTTTGAGTGTCGCCGTTTTAATGCTCGCCTGGCCTGAAAAGTGGCCTGGGAGGTATCTGGGAAGATCAGGACCCATTGACCTCTGAAGGAGATGTCAGTGTGGGATCTAGATTGTTTCAGTATCTCCTCTTTGAGGGTATAGTAGTGCAGCCTGCAAATCAGGTATCTTGGCTTGTCATTAGGAAGGTTTTTTTGCCCTGTGCGTGCAGTCAAACAGTAAAACAGTGCAGCCTGCAAATCAGGTATCTTGGCTTGTCATTAGGAAGGTTTTTTTGCTCTGTGCATGCAGTCAAACAGTATTTCACTGTCAGGGTGTCTGTTCAGAATTTGATTGAAGAGTAGGATAAGCAAGTGGGCTGGGTCTTCTTCTGCAAGCCCACGGACCCATAAGTTGTTCCTTATCCTCATATTATTGATATCATCAAGTTTTTTCTGCATATATATCATGGCTTCCCCTTGCTAAGTTAAGGTGTCTTGCATTAGGGCCCATTGTGGTACAGCAGCCTTGCTTTCAGCTTCTAAGGCCTGCACCCATGACTCTATTCCTCTTATCTCCGTGCTAAGGGTCTGCAGCCTCTCTCCGAAGCTCGCCTCCAATTTCGCAAGCATATCTTCGATGTCAGTGCAGGAGGGAAGGCGCATTATAAGAGCCTACAGGTAGGATTCCTCCCCAGAAGCCGCAGATACAGTCGGGCTTAGTGGAGGGCTGTCATGCTGCCGTGAGGTGAGCGCCATCTTGGCCTTGCGGTATGACGCGGCTGATTCATTGAAGAACCGCCTCAAGAAGGCTTTGGAGGTCACAGCCATGATGAAGAGGGTAAACCCCGATGAGGACTTTTTTTGGAGGACTAAATTTTTTGGAGGTCATAGCAGGTTATGCCCTCCTTTTATTTTTATCTCTCATTGTTTATTCTGATATTTTACCTGGTCCCATTCAATTGCTACAGTTGTATGACTTAAGCCACACAAACTTTAATGCCACCAGACACTGTTTTGACTTGATGCACTTCAGAAGATATGTCTCTATTTTTAGATATGCATTGTTTTAGTTATAAAAACTTTTTATGTCTCTTATTATTTACTCTTCTATTTTAATTGGGTTTTACATGTAATATATTCATGTGCTATAATGTGTAGTTGTAATAGTAATGGCGGACAATTACCGCCATTCTTTGAAGAGTACATAAACGACTTTTGCAGGAAATCTCACTCACGCTTGTGAAACATAGAAACATAGAAACATAGAATGTGACGGCAGATAAGAACCATTCGGCCCATCTACTCTGCCCAATTTTCAAAATACTTTCATTAGTCCCTGGCCTTATCTTATAGTTAGGATAGCCTTATGCCTATCCCACACATGCTTAAACTCATTTACTGTGTTAACCTCCATCACTTCAGCTGGAAGGCTATTCCATGCATCCACTACCCTCTCAGTAAAGTAATACTTCCTGATATTATTTTTAAACCTTTGTCCCTCTAATTTAAGACTATGTCCTCTTGTTGTGGTAGTTTTTCTTCTTTTAAATATAGTCTCCTCCTTTACTGTGTTGATTCCCTTTATGTATTTAAATGTTTCTATCATATCCCCCCTGTCTCGTCTTTCCTCCAAGCTATACATGTTAAGATCCTTTAACCTTTCCTGGTAAGTTTTATCCCGCAATCCATGAACCAGTTTAGTAGCCCTTCTCTGAACCCTCTCTAAGGTATCAATATCCTTCTGAAGATACGGTCTCCAGTACTGCGTACAATACTCCAAGTGAGGTCTCACCAGTGTTCTGTACAATGGCATGATCACTTCCCTCTTTCTACTGCTAATACCTCTCCCTATACAACCAAGCATTCTGCTAGCATTTCCTGCTGCTCTATTACATTGTCTGCCTACCTTTAAGTCAACAGAAATAATCACCCCTAAATCCCTTTCCTCAGATGTTGAGGTTAGGACTCTATCAAATATTCTGTACTCTGCCCTTGGGTTTTTACATCCAAGATGCATTATCTTGCACTTATCCACATTAAATGTCAGTTGCCACAATTCTGACCATTTTTCTAGTTTACCTAAATCATTTGTCATTTGGCTTATCCCTCCTGGAACATCAACCCTGTTACATATCTTAGTATCATCAGCAAAAAGACATACCTTACCATCAAGACCTTCTGCAATATCACTAATAAAAATATTAAAGAGAATGGGTCCAAGTACAGATCCCTGAGGTACCCCACTGGTGACAAGTCCAAGCTTCGAATATATTCCATTAACTACAACCCTCTGTTGCCTGTCACTCAGCCACTGCCTTACCCATTCAACAATATTGGAATCCAAACTTAAAGATTGCAGTTTATTGATAAGCCTTCTATGTGCAACAGTGTCAAAAGCCTTACTGAAATCTAGGTAAGCAATGTCTACTGCACCACCCTGATCTATAATTTTAGTTACCCAATCAAAAAAATCAATAAGATTAGTTTGGCATGATCTCCCTGAAGTAAACCCATGTTGTCTCTGATCTTGAAATCCATGTGTTTTTAGATGTTCAACAATCCTATCCTTTAACATGGTTTCCATCACTTTCCCCACTACTGAAGTAAGGCTTACTGGCCTATAGTTGCCCTGAGAGGCGGGGCGAAATGCGTAGCGCATGCCAAAACCTGGAAGTAGCTGCACTGATACGGAGAGTCTGTGATGAGCTGGATACAGAGTGTGATAGAACTAATACGGTTTATCCACTACTTACCTGGACTTATCTGCCTTTATCCAACACAGCAGCAGTTATTTATTTTATATTTATCCATTTTGAATAAAGCAGCAATTTCTTTTACTTCAACATTTCGGCTGAGAATGAGTTTATGCATCAGACTACATTTTGGATTCCACATTCTCAAGGGGCTGTTCCTCCTAGTGCCTGATAGTTTGGAGTGGTACTTCAACCGCTCCACAATTGTGATTTTTACTTTTCTTGCTACCTTTATACATTTTATTTATAATATTGCACTAGGTCTGTGTTTTTATATACTCTAGATCGGACTGTTTCTGAAAAACCAGTGTAATTGCAAGTCTATGCCTTACTTGTTACAGTTTTGATTTGACCACATGATATCTCTGTACACTTGCTGGTGATTCACTGGCTACATTTATATTCTAACAGACTATTGTATGTACTTGGGTGGAAATTTGCATGATCTATACACTTTGTTTATGGTTTCATCCTTGATCGCTATTGCTCATATTGTTTTGCGCACTTACATTTATTTGTTTCATAGCAGGTTAGTTGCCACAGGAAAAGTTGTTGGTGCGCAGTTCAGAGCAGAGCTCTTTCCTCAAGCGACCATCTGCTTTCCCAGCATAGCCACGCCCCCACTCTTTTATTTTTATCTGTTTGTTGGTGTATGTATTTCTTTGGAAGATATTTTGTATTTGAATTATCTGTGACTATTTTTGTTAATACATTTTTTTTTCTTTTATTAAGTTATGTCCTTGTCTGGTGCAAGAATCATGCTAAGAAAGATACTTATATCTTAATTCTGTGGTGTAATAGATACTTCTGCTAAATAGTGTTTGTGGGTTTTTAATTTAATTTGCTTGGGGTAAAAACAATGCCCCATTTAAACTAGAGTAGCTGTGTGTTAAGAGTGATTTTGTTATCATATTTGGGTCTAGTGCAGACAAATATTGATATATAACTCTTTTGCCCACTTAAGCAAGGTCACCTGTCTGCCTTAGTGGTGTTCATGACAGTGGCAATTAAGAAAGCTGCAATCATAAATTCCTAAAAAAACAACACTCCTTTTGCATATGTTAAATATTATTTCTGTTTAAAGAAAATATATGCAGTTGCCATTTTGTTTCATAGTAATCGGCTACATATGCACTTCATGGGGTTAAAGAATCCTGCAGGGTTAAATTGGCATGCATAATTACTAGTTCCAACCATACTTCAATATTTCTACTCCGTATGCCCTGCTAACAATTTAGAATACTTATTGTTTTAGTGGGTTTTAAATGTTTGTGGCTAGTGGTGTCTACAAAGTACAGTTGACCATGTGGACACCCTAAACTGTATCTGGTACTCATGTTTAATAAAGATAGGCTGCCTTACATATATCAGAAACTTTCAAAGATAATGAAGCCCACAGACTGAGCCAAATTCACTTTACAATTGAACATGTGGTTTAAATCAAGCTTATGACTCAGTCAATGAAAAACAATTTCATTTTATCTAGACTGGAATTATATGAAGTACAGTTCTGTTAAAAAATGATGTAGAGACGGGCGCATATGAATCATAAAGCAAATAAATAAACTGATTAAGTAACATATTTGTCCTATTATAGACTTCCACCATTAAATTGAAGCTAGGGCATAAAAATTATAAAATGTTTGTATAAATGAACAAGTAAATTTTAGGAATATTTTATTTAGCAGTCAGATAGTACTAGCTGCAAAAACTGGGACACGCTCCAAGAATTCTAAGCGCTATTAACTTAAAGAGGAGAGAAAGTAGGAAGGCACAGATTATTTTGTATACTGTTGATAAAAGTAAGAATAAGAGCTTGTCATAAAGACATTTTGTCTGTAGATTATACTGAGCCGAAATCTCAACAATAGACTCTCTAGTATTATTATTATTTGTAATATTAATTGTAAATAAAAATCATAATTTAAATAAAGCAAAATTGATGAACACTAGCACTCTTTATGTTATGGCTTGTTAATATATCAGTGAGGAAAGTTTTTTGGTCTACATTACCTTAAACCACACTTTGCAAAAAGCTTGGACATTCTAAAACCCTATACATGTCACTTGACATGTCATATGATTAGAGATGTCGCGAACCGTCCGCGAACTTCCTGCAAACGGTTCGTGGCGAACTCCGGTCAGCTGACACATCCCTGCCAATCTCTGGCAGACCCTCCCTCCCAGACCCTCCCATCTCCTGGACAGCATCCATGTTGAAGCTGCCTTCAACATGGATGCTGTCCAGGAAGTAGGAGGGTCTGCTGGAGATTGGCCGGGATGTGTCAGCTGACCGGAGTTCCCCACGAACGGTTCGTGGCGAACAGCGGCGAACCGTTCGCGGGAAGTTCGCGGACGGTTCGTGGACGGTTCGCGACATCTCTACATATGATCTCACAATGGTCTCACAATGCACAGCATGTCCACTATCGTATATCTCTATTTGTTACATCCTGTTTATCCACTTTAGTGTACCCTTCATCAAGATATAGCAACAGTCTTCTGTGGATAGAAATCATATAGCTCTGTGCTGGGGTTGCTTGATTTGAATTTTGCTTTCAACATACCCAAATGTGCATTTTCCAATGTGCAGGTATGTAATAAAAGTGTGCAGGTATGAAAATAAATGGAAATAGAACTATGAAAATATGTCCTTAGTGATGAAGACCACTTGTTTGGTTTACTTGCTTACCAGATCAAGCTAATGATGCTATGTAAGAAGATCATAAGCCACAGTATAGTGATGGTCCTTGATTACTCAATCATCTGGGGTGGCAAGACATGCATACATAAATGAATTGAGAAGCCCAGCATCTGTAAATGTGGGATGGGTGGCATTTTCACACAAATATGGTTGACGTTGTACGAAATAACTATTTTGGTTTCAGTGCATTCATATATTTTTGGAAATTACCAGACTGAAACCTTCCTGAAAAATCATCCCAGCAGACACCCTAAGGAGATCCAGAGTTGCAGGGATAACTGCATAGAGAAGAAAGAAACAAAATGGAAATGAAAAGTAGAAAGAGGAAGGAAACAGCAGGAGACAAAAAGAAAAAGTAAGGAAAAGCGGTG